ACGCTCACCACCACGCTCACCACCACGCTCACCATCATGTTCACCACCACGCTCAGCATCATGCTCACCATCCCGCTCACCACCACGCTCACCATCCCGCTCACCATCACGCTCACCACCACGCTCACCAGCACGCTCACCACCATGCTCACCAGCACGCTCACCGCCACCCTCACCACCACCAACACCACGCTCGACACCATGCTCACCACCACACTCACCACCACGCTCACCACCACACTCACCACCACCCTCACCACCACCCTCACCATCACGCTCACCAGCACGCTCACCACCAACCTCACCACAACCACCACGCTCACCACCACGCTCACCGTGACCGTCTCTCCCACACCCCCCCTGAATCCCACTGACCCCTGACCCCTGACCCCCCCCCCCAGGAAAAACCGGCGCCAACCCCAACCTCCAGACGCTGACCTCTCCAGGTGAGAGTTCATGACCCCGTGACCCCCTGTGCTGACCCCGTGACCTGCACTGACCCGATGACCCAATGACCCTTGTGGTGACCCACACTGATGCCGTGACCCGCACTGACCCCATGACCCCGTGACCCACGCTGATCCCATGATTAACACTGATCCTATGACCCCTTTGATGACCCCGTGACCCGTTCTGACCCTATGACCCCGTGACCCTCGTTGACGCTGTGACCCCTGTGATGACCCCGTGACCCCTCTGTCCAGGTACAGAGGTGAGGTCGATCAATGACTTCCTGTTCGCAGCGCAGATTGACAACATCAACTTGTTCAAGGTGGGAGGGGGAGGGGTGATGGTGGGGGGGGAGGGGTGATGGTGGGGGAGGGGGTGATGGGGGTGGTCATGGGGGTGGGGGAGGGGGGTGGTGATGGGGGTGGGGGAGGGGGTGATGGTGGGGGTGATGGTGGTGGTGTGGTGGCGGTGGGGGGAGGGGGGTGGTGATGGTGGGGGGAGGGGTGATGGTGATGGGGGTGGGGGAGGGGGTGATGGTGGGGTGATGATGGTGGGGGGGGAGGGGGTGGTGATGGTGGTGGCGGTGGCGGTAATGGTGATGATGGTGGTGATAGTGGTGATGGTGATGCTGTTAGTGGTGATGGTGGTGGTGGTAGTGATGGTGGTGATGGTGATGGGGGTGATGGTGATGCTGTTAGTGGTGATGGTGATGATGGTGATGCTGTTAGTGGTGATGGTGGTGATGATGGTGATGCTTTCAGTGGTGATGGTGGTAGTGATGGTGGTGATGGTAGTGGTGATGGGGGTGGTGGTAGTGATGGTGGTGATGGTGATGGTGATAGGGGTGATGGTGGTGATGGTAGTGGTGATGGGGGTGATGGTGATGCTGTTAGTGGTGATGGTAGTGATGGTGGTGATGGTGATGGTGATAGGGGTGATGGTGGTGATGGGGGTGGTGGTGATGGTGGTGATGGTGGTGATGGTGATGCTGTTAGTGGTGATGGTGGTGGTGGTAGTGATGGTGGTGATGGTGATGGGGGTGATGGTGATGCTGTTAGTGGTGATGGTGATGATGGTGATGCTGTTAGTGGTGATGGTGATGCTGTTAATGGTGATGGTGGCGGTAGTGGTGATGGTGGTGATGCTGTTAGTGGTGATGGTGATGATGGTGATGCTGTTAGTGGTGATGATGGTGATGCTGTTAGTGGTGATGGTGGTGATGATGGTGATGCTTTCAGTGGTGATGGTGGTAGTGATGGTGGTGATGGTAGTGGTGATGGGGGTGGTGGTAGTGATGGTGGTGATGGTGATGGTGATAGGGGTGATGGTGGTGATGGTAGTGGTGATGGGGGTGATGGTGATGCTGTTAGTGGTGATGGTGGTGGTGGTAGTGATGGTGGTGATGGTGATGGTGATAGGGGTGATGGTGGTGATGGTAGTGGTGATGGGGGTGGTGGTGATGGTGGTGATGGTGATGCTGTTAGTGGTGATGGTGGTGGTGGTAGTGATGGTGGTGATGGTAGTGGTGATGGGGGTGGTGGTGATGCTGTTAGTGGTGATGGTGGTGGTGGTAGTGATGGTGGTGATGGTGATGGGGGTGATGGTGATGATGGCGTTGTCTCTACCCCCCACACCAGGTCCACCGCTACTGTGAGAAGAGCAAAGTCGGCCACAAGGTACCCCCTAGCAACAACCCCCTAGCAACAACCCCCTAGCAACAACCCCCTAGCAACAACCCCCTAGCAACAACCCCCTAGCGACAACCCCCTAGCAACAACCCCCTAGCAACAACCCCCTAGCAACAACCCCCTAGCAACAACCCCTAGCAACAACCCCCTCGCAACAACCTCCTAACAACAACCCCCTAGCGACAACCACCTAGCAACAACCCCCTAGCAACAACCCCCTAGCGACAACCCCCTAGCAACAACCCCCTAGCAACAACCCCCTAGCAACAACCCCTAGCAACAACCCCCTCGCAACAACCTCCTAACAACAACCCCCTAGCGACAACCACCTAGCAACAACCCCCTAGCAACAACCCCCTAGCGACAACCCCCTAGCAACAACCCCCTAGCAACAACCCCCTAGCAACAACCCCCTAGCGACAACCACCTAGCAACAACCCCCTAGCGACAACCCCCTAGCAACAACCCCCTAGCGACAATCCCCTAGCGACAACCCCCTAGTGACAACCCCCGCGTGACCCCCGCGTGACCCCCGCGTGACCCCCGCGTGACCCCCGCGTTGTCACAGCTGCTTGGATTTGTGGAGCGCTACATGGAGCAGGGGATGGGTCAAGTGGCGTCCCACTCCTCCACCTCGTCGCCATCCACCTCGTCGCTCACCTCCTTCCTCACCTCCCTGCGGACTCCAGGTGACGACATCATCATCGTCACCGTGAGCTCACCTCCTCGCTCACCTCCTCGCTCACCTCCTCGCTCACCTCCCTGCAGGGTGCAGGTGACGTCATCACCTCCTCGCTCACATCATCACCTCCTCGCTCACGTCACTCGCCTCCCTGCAGAGTGCTGGTGACGTCATCACCTCCTCGCTCACGTCACTCACCTCCCTGCAGAGTGCCGGTGACGTCATCACCTCCTCGCTCACGTCATCACCTCCTCGCTCACGTCACTCGCCTCCCTGCAGAGTGCTGGTGACGTCATCACCTCCTCGCTCACGTCATCACCTCCTCGCTCACGTCACTCGCCTCTCTGCAGAGTGCCGGTGACGTCATCACCTCGTCGCTCACGTCACTCGCCTCCCTGCAGAGTGCCGGTGACGTCATCACCTCGTCGCTCACGTCACTCGCCTCCCTGCAGAGTGCCGGTGACGTCATCATCGTTATCATCATCATCAGCTCACCTCCTCGGTGGGGGTGGAGGAGGTGGATCCGGAGGTGGAGTGGGTGGGGGTGGAGGAGGTGGGGGTAGAGGAGGTGGAAGGGGTGGAGGAGGTGGGGGTGGGCGAGGTGGAGGGGATAGAGGAGGTGGGGGTGGAGGAGGTGGGGTGGAGGGGGTGGGGGTGGAGGAGGTGGAGGGGGCACAGGTGGTGCACCAGCCAGTCATCTCAGTCATCTCAGTCGTCTCAGTCAGTCGACCCGTGGCACTTGGGTCTGCCCCGTGACCTCGTGCCAGCGGGCGTTCGACACTTCACGTGGCCTCAGGGTGCACATGGCCTGGCACAAGCGTCGTGGTGACGTCACCGCCACTTAGTGGCGAATGGCGGTTGTTGTTGTAGTGTGTGTTAGTGTGTGTGTGTCTGTGTGTGTTAGTGTGTGTGTCTGTGTGTGTTAGAGTGTGTGTGTGTCTGTGTGTGTTAGTGTGTGTGTGTCTGTGTGTGTTAGAGTGTGTGTGTGTCTGTGTGTGTTAGAGTGTGTGTGTGTCTGTGTGTATCTGTGTGTGTGTGTGTGTCTGTGTGTTGGTGTGTTAGAGTGTGTGTGTGTCTGTGTGTGTTAGAGTGTGTGTGTGTGTCTGTGTGTGTTAGAGTGTGTGTGTGTCTGTGTGTTGGTGTGTTAGAGTGTGTGTGTTAGAGTGTGTGTGTCTGTGTGTGTTAGAGTGTGTGTGTGTCCGTGTGTGTTAGAGTGTGTGTGTGTCTGTGTGTGTGAGTGTCTGTGTGTTGGTGTGTTAGAGTGTGTCTGTGTGTGTTAGAGTGTCTGTGTGTGTCTGTGTGTGTTAGAGTGTCTGTGTGTGTGTGTCTGTGTGTTGGTGTGTTAGAGTGTGTTAGAGTGTGTGTGTGTCTGTGTGTGTTAGAGTGTGTGTGTGTCTGTGTGTGTGAGTGTCTGTGTGTTGGTGTGTTAGAGTGTGTGTGTGTGTCTGTGTGTGTTAGTGTGTGTGTGTCTGTGTGTGTTAGTGTGTGTGTGTGTCTGTGTGTGTTAGAGTGTGTGTGTGTCTGTGTGTGTGTGTGTGTCTGTGTGTTGGTGTGTTAGAGTGTGTGTGTGTTAGAGTGTGTGTGTGTGTGTGTGTTAGAGTGTGTGTGTGTCTGTGCGTGTCTGTGTGTTGGTGTGTTAGAGTGTGTGTGTGTTAGAGTGTGTGTGTGTGTGTGTGTTAGAGTGTGTGTGTGTCTGTGTGTGTCTGTGTGTGTCTGTGTGTCTGTGTGTCTGTGTATGTGTGTGTGTGTCTGTGTGTGTCTGTGTGTCTGTGTGTCTGTGTATGTGTGTGTGTGTCTGTGTGTGTCTGTGTGTCTGTGTGTGTCTGCGTGTGTGTCTGTGTGTCTGCGTGTGTGTGTGTCTGTGTGTGTGTGTGTCTGTGTGTGTGTCTGTGTGTGTCTGTGTGTGTGTGTCTGTGTGTGTGTGTGTCTGTGTGTGTGTGTGTCTGTGTGTCTGTGTCTGCGTGTGTCTGCGTGTGTGTCAGTCGTGGTTGAACTGCTGCCGCTACTGCTACTTACTCCTCTGGTCGTACACCACGCAGGGTCCCAGGCCATTGGTGAGGCCGGCGGTGGTGAGGGTGGTGCTGCTGGTGGTGGTGAGGGTGGTGCTGGTGGTGGTGCTGGTGGTGGTGGTGGTGGTGAGGCTACCAGCCGGTCCTCACCACTCCTCCTGGTGCAGAGTTTTTTGTCGGGGCTCACCAACGCCAACACGGACGCACGTGTGGTGCTCACCCGGGAAGGTGAGCGGGTGGTGAGTGGTGGCGAGGGTGGTGAGCGTGGTGAGGGTAGAGAGTGGTGTGTGGGAGGGTGTGGGTGGTGAGTGGTGGCGAGGGTGGTGAGCGTGGTGAGGGTAGAGAGTGGTGAGTGGGAGGATGCGGGTGGTGAGTGGTGGCGAGGGTGGTGAGCGTGGTGAGGGTAGAGAGTGGTGAGTGGGAGGATGTGGGTGGTGAGTGGTGGCGAGGGTGGTGAGCGTGGTGAGGGTAGAGAGTGGTGAGTGGGAGGGTGCGGGTGGTGAGTGGTGGCGAGGGTGGTGAGCGTGGTGAGGGTAGAGAGTGGTGAGTGGGAGGGTGTGGGTGGTGAGTGGTGGCGAGGGTGGTGAGCGTGGTGAGGGTAGAGAGTGGTGAGTGGGAGGATGTGGGTGGTGAGTGGTGGCGAGGGTGGTGAGCGTGGTGAGGGTAGAGAGTGGTGTGTGGGAGGATGTGGGTGGTGAGTGGTGGCGAGGGTGGTGAGCGTGGTGAGGGTAGAGAGTGGTGAGTGAGAGGGTGTGGGTGGTGAGTGGTGGCGAGGGTGGTGAGCGTGGTGAGGGTAGAGAGTGGTGAGTGAGAGGGTGTGGGTGGTGAGTGGTGGCGAGGGTGGTGAGCGTGGTGAGGGTAGAGAGTGGTGAGTGAGAGGGTGTGGGTGGTGAGTGGGGGTGTGGGTGGTGAGTGGTGGTGAGTGGGAGGGTGATGGTAGAGAGTGGTGGGTGAGTGGTGCTCATCAGCGATTGTCTCTGTGTATCTCTCTGTGTGTGTATCTCTGACTCTGTGTGTGTCTGTGTGTGTATCTCTGTTTGTGTCTCTGTGTGTCTCTCTCTGTGTATATCTCTGTGTGTGTATCTCTCTCTGTGTGTCTCTGTGTGTGTCTCTGTGTGTGTGTATCTCTGTGTGTATCTCTGACTGTGTGTGTCTCTCACTGACTGTGTCTCTCTCTGTGTATCTCTCTGTGTGTGTATCTCTGACTCTGTGTGTGTCTCTGTGTCTCTCCCTCCCAGCCACGCTGGCGCCCTCCACCCTCAAGCTGCTGCTCCTCAACCCCGCGGTCCACTTTGCCGAGGTGCTGCGTGAGTGCCGTGCCGTCGTCATCGCCGGCGGCACCATGCAGCCGGTGAGGGACCCCGTGACCCGGTAGCCCGGTGACCCGGTGACCCGGTGACTTGCTGACCCGGTGACCCGGTGACTTGCTGACCCGGTGACTTGCTAACCCGGTGACCCGGTGACTTGCTAACCCGGTGACCCGGTGACTTGCTAACCCGGTGACTTGCTAACCTGGTGACCCGGTGACTTGCTAACCCGGTGACCCGGTGACTTGCTAACCCGGTGACCCGGTGACTTGCTAACCTGGTGACTTGCTAACCCGGTGACCCGGTGACTTGCTAAACCGGTGACCCGGTGACTTGCTAACCTGGTGACCCGGTGACTTGCTAACCCGGTGACCCGGTGACTTGCTAACCCGGTGACCCGGTGACTTGCTAACCTGGTGACTTGCTAACCCGGTGACCCGGTGACTTGCTAACCTGGTGACTTGCTAACCCGGTGACCCGGTGACTTGCTAACCCGGTGACTTGCTAACCTGGTGACTTGCTAACCTGGTGACCCGGTGACTTGCTAACCCGGTGACCCGGTGACTTGCTAACCCGGTGACTTGCTAACCCGGTGACCCGGTGACTTGCTAACCCGGTGACCCGGTGACTTGCTAACCCGGTGACTTGCTAACCCGGTGACCCGGTGACATTGCGACTTAGTAACTCGGTGACCTGGTAAGCCGGTGAGCCCGCGACCTGGTGACCCGATGACCCCGACGGTGACCCCGACGGTGACCCCGTGACCTCGAGGCCTTGACCTCCGCAGGTGTCTGAGCTGAAGCAGCAGCTGCTGCTGCCGTGCGGAGTGAGGCCGGAGCGCATTGTCGAGTTCAGCTGCGGTGAGGAGAACTCACCACCACCACCACCGCTCGCTCACCAACACTCACCACCACCACTCACCACCGCTCACCACTCACCACCGCTCGCTCACCACGACCGCTCATCACTGCTCACCACCGCTCACTCACCACCACCGCTCACCACCGCTCACTCACCACCACCGCTCACTCACCACCACCACTCGCTCAACACCGCTCGCTCACCACCGCTCACCACCACCACTCGCTCACCACCACCGCTCGTTCACCACCACCACCTCTCACTCACCACCACCGCTCACTCACCACCACTCGCTCACCACCACCACCGCTCACTCACCACCACTCGCTCACCACCACCACCTCTCACTCACCACCACCGCTCACTCACCACCACCACCTCTCACTCACCACCACCGCTCATTCACCACCACTCGCTCACCACCACCACCACCGCTCACTCACCACCACTCGCTCACCACCACCGCTCGCTCACCACCACCACCTCTCACTCACCACCACCGCTCACTCACCACCACCACCACTCACTCACCACCACTCGCTCACCACCACCACCGCTCACTCACCACCACTCGCTCACCACCACCACCGCTCACTCACCACCACTCGCTCACCACCACCACTCGCTCACCACCACCACCGCTCACTCACCACCACCGCTCACCACCACCACCTCTCACTCACCACCACCGCTCACTCACCACCACCACCTCTCACTCACCACCACCGTTCGCTCACAACCACCACCTCTCACTCACCACCGCTCACTCACCACCGCTCACTCACCACCACTCGCTCACCACCACCGCTCGCTCACCACCACCGCTCACCGCTCGCTCACCACCGCTCACCACCACCACTCGCTCACCACCACCGCTCGCTCACCACCACTCGCTCACTCACCACCACTCGCTCACCACGACCGCTCACCACCGCTCACCACCACCACTCACCACCACTCACCACCGCTCACCACTCACCACCGCTCGCTCACCACGACCGCTCATCACCGCTCACCACCGCTCACTCACCACCACTCGCTCAACACCGCTCGCTCACCTCTCACTCACCACCACCACTCACCACCACTCGCTCACCACCACTGCTCGTTCACCACCACCTCTCACTCACCACCACCTCTCACTCACCACCACCACCTCTCACTCACCACCACCGCTCACTCACCACCACCACCACTCGCTCACCACCACCACCTCTCACTCACCACCACCACTCGCTCACCACCACCACCTCTCACTCACCACCACCGCTCACTCACCACCACCACCTCTCACTCACCACCACCGCTCGCTCACCACCACCACCTCACACTCACCACCGCTCACTCACCACCGCTCACTCACCACCACTCGCTCACCACCGCTCACCACCACCGCTCGCTCACCACCACCGCTCACCACTCACTCACCACCGCTCACCACCTCTCACTCACCACCACCACTCACCACCGCTCACCACCGCTCGCTCACCACCACCGCTCGCTCACCACTCACCACTCACCACCACCACCGCTCGCTCACCACTCGCTCACCACCGCTCTCACCACCACTCGCTCACCACCACCACCTCTCACTCACTCACCACCGCTCACCACCTCTCACTCACCACCACCGCTCGCTCACCACCGCTCACCACCACCACTCGCTCACCACCACTCGCTCACCACCACTCGCTCACCACGACCGCTCACCACCACTCACCACCACTCACCACCGCTCACTCACCACCGCTCGCTCACCACCACTCACTCACCACCACCGCTCACCACCACTCACCACCACTCACCACCACCGCTCACTCACCACCGCTCACTCACCACCACCGCTCACCACCACTCACCACCACTCACCACCGCTCACTCACCACCGCTCGCTCACCACCACTCACTCACCACCACCGCTCACCACCACTCACCACCACTCACCACCACCGCTCACTCACCACCGCTCACTCACCACCACTCACTCACCACCACCGCTCACCACCACTCACCACCACTCACCACCACCGCTCACTCACCACCGCTCACTCACCACCACTCACTCACCACCACCGCTCACCACCACTCACCACCACTCACCACCACCGCTCACTCACCACCGCTCACTCACCACCGCTCACTCACCACCACTCACTCACCACCACCGCTCACCACCACTCACCACCACCGCTCACTCACCACCGCTCACTCACCACCACTCACTCACCACCACCGCTCACCACCACTCACCACCACTCACCACCACCGCTCACTCACCACCGCTCGCTCACCACCACTCACTCACCACCACCGCTCACCACCACTCACCACCACTCACCACCACCGCTCACTCACCACCGCTCGCTCACCACCACTCGCTCACCACGACCGCTCACCACCACTCACCACCACTCACCACCACCGCTCACTCACCACCGCTCGCTCACCACGACCGCTCACCCCGACCGCTCACCACCGCTCACCCATCACAACCGCTCACCACTGGCCCCCATTTGACCCCGCGTGACCCCCGCATGACCCCCGCGTGACCCCGCCCACGCAGGTCACGTGATCCCCCCGGAGAACATTCTACCCATAATCCTCAGCAGCGGCCCCACCGGCCAAACCTTCAACTTCACCTTCAGGAACCGCGACTCGCCCACCCTCGTGAGGGGGGGGAGGGGGGGGGGAGCAGTGGGTGTGTGTGTGTGTACGTGTGTGTGTGTACGTGTGTGTGTACGTGTGTGTGTACATGTGTGTGTGTGTGTACGTGTGTGTGTGTGTACGTGTGTGTGTGTGTACATGTGTGTGTGTGTGTACGTGTGTGTGTGTGTCTGTGTGTGTTTGTGTATACGTGTGTGTGTGTGTACGTGTGTGTGTGTGTACGTGTGTGTGTGTGTGTACGTGTGTGTGTGTGTACGTGTGTGTGTGTGTGTACATGTGTGTGTGTGTGTACGTGTGTGTGTGTGTCTGTGTGTGTGTGTGTACGTGTGTGTGTGTGTACGTGTGTGTGTGTGTACGTGTGTGTGTGTGTCTGTGTGTGTGTGTGTACGTGTGTGTGTATGTGTGTGTGTGTACGTGTGTGTGTGTGTGTACGTGTGTGTGTGTGTACGTGTGTACGTGTGTGTACGTGTGTGTGTGTGTGTACATGTGTGTGTGTGTGTGTACGTGTGTGTGTGTGTACGTGTGTGTGTGTACGTGTGTGTGTGTGTACGTGTGTGTGTACGTGTGTACGTGTGTGTGTGTGTACGTGTGTGTGTGTGTGTACATGTGTGTGTGTGTACGTGTGTGTGTGTGTGTACATGTGTGTGTGTGTGTACGTGTGTACGTGTGTGTGTGTGTGTACGTGTGTGTGTGTACGTGTGTGTGTGTACGTGTGTGTGTGTGTACGTGTGTGTGTGTGTGTGTACGTGTGTGTGTGTTTGTGTGTGTACGTGTGTGTGTGTGTGTACGTGTGTGTGTGTACGTGTGTGTGTGTACGTGTGTGTGTGTGTGTACGTGTGTGTGTGTGTGTGTACGTGTGTGTGTGTGTGTACGTGTGTGTGTGTCCGGCAAAACAACCCCCTACCTCCTCGCGGTGCCGGACGGGCAACTCTGTCGTGGACAGTGCTGTGGGGGGAGTTCCAATTTTGATTGGCTCCTCCCCTCATGGCATATGTGTCCACCACAGGGGCTAAACGGGGGCTCTGGACGGGTGCGAGGGGCTGGTAACCCCTCCACCTTCAATTAATTACCACAAAACCACGAATTAAAGTGAAATATGTAACAACTAAGCTTGTGCCGGAGGCCCCGGGGGGCCAGGCGTCTATGACGTCTCCTGGCCAAACCCCAATTGGCGGAGCCAGGAGATTGAATACCTACCCTCGGGGCTACTCCAGAAACAACGAAAAGCCACTACGGGTGGCCACGTGGAATGTTCGAACGCTCACTGCAGAGGAGAGGCTGCCACTCCTCTGTCGGGAGCTGGACCGGTACCGCCTGGATCTATGCGGCATTCAGGAGGTCCGGTGGACCGGCTCTGGCTCCTGCCACCATGAGGGGTGGACAGTCCTCTACTCGGGGCAGCAGACTGCCAAACAACAGGGTGTGGGTCTTCTTTTGAACAAAAGAATGAAGGGGGCGTGGGAGCGTGGCGGTGAGGTGTGGGAAGCTGTAAGCCCCAGGCTACTTTGGGCTCGCCTTCCCATCAACCGGAGGCGAGGAATGGTGGTCGTGGTTACTTATGCCCCCACCGAAGATGAACATCCGTGGAGGGATGCAGGCAAAGCCGATGAGTCAGATGCCTTCTATGACCTCCTGTCACAGGTGCTGGCTAAAGTGGCCCCTCGGGATAGAGTCATCATGTTGGGTGACTTCAATGCCCGAGTTGGTCATGATACTGGCACCTGGTCTGGAGTGATTGGAGGGCATGGGCCAGATCAGCTCAATAACAACGGTAGGAGGCTGCTAGATTTTTGTGCAGCCCATGGGCTTGTAATTACCAACACGCTGTTCCGGCATCGGCGCATCCACACAACATCATGGATGCATGCCGGGTCCAAGCAAGAACATCTGCTGGACTACATAGTGACGGACCAGCGAATGCGAGCCCATGTCCTTGACACCAGGACCTACCGTGGAGCTGATCTGCCCTCTGACCATCGACTAGTCATCTGTAAGATGCGCCTGCCATTCTTCCACTCCGGTGGTGGGTGTACACCCAGGACCCCATTCCAACCTAAAGTGGCCTGGTCTCAGTTATCTGATGAAAGTTGCAAGCGAGAATTTCATCATCGCTTGCGGCTGGGATTGGCATCGTCCCCGACTCCTCCTGATGTCGAGGGTAAATGGGCGAGGTTTAGGACTGTGACTCATGCAGCTGCAATGGCTGCTTTGGGTACGCGGTCCAGACCTCCCCAGACACCCTGGATGACAGAGGAGTTGTTCAGGATGGTTGAGAAAAAGCGACAGGCCCACTGTCATCGGCTACAGAATCCCACGTCAGAGAATGAGGAGGCTTACCGCAGCCTTCGCTCGGAGGTTCGGAGAGCCGTGAGGCGCTGCAAGGATGGGTGGTGGTCGCGGGTTGCTGAGGAGATGGAGTCTGCCTCAGTGGCCCGTGATCACAAATCGCTATTTAACTCCATCAAAAAAGTAACCTGCAGCGCCACACCTATTACCATCATTAGGGGAAAAAACGGTGATCCAATTTCCGACCCCCAGGAACAGGTTCGTAGATTTGCTGAGCATTTCTGTGAGGTCCTGGGGGAGGGAAAATCCCACAGCCAGGAAAACATCGTGGCACAAAGTGAGGATGACCCTGCTGAGGCTGCGGTGCCTCAAATATTGGATGAAGTCACCCCCTGTGAGTGGCTGGCTGAGGTGCCATCTGCTGAGGAAGTATTGAAGGCGATCCGGAGTCTGAGACCAGGAAAGGCAGCGGGCAGAGATGATCTCCCAAGCGAAATGCTGAGGGAGGGTGGCGTTTGTGCACAGACTGCCCTATATGACATCATAACAACAGTCTGGACCACTGGACGGGTTCCGCAGGATTGGAAGGATGCCCTGGTGGTCCCCCTTTTTAAGAAGGGGGACCGCACAGACTGTAACAACTACAGGGGCATCTCACTCCTCAGTGTGCCGGGAAAGGTCCTGGCAAGGATTATTCAGCATCGCCTTGCCAGGCACGCTGAGGAGAGGCTTGCGGAGCCCCAATGCGGTTTCAGGAAAGGGCGGTCCTGCACAGATGCCATATTTTCGGTCCGTCTGCTACAGCAGAGGTGTAGGGAATTCCAACAAGACCTACATCTCTGCTTTATTGACCTGGTCAAGGCCTATGATACCATCAGTAGGCCTGGGCTCTGGGTCGTTCTTCGTGCTTTTGGAGTACCTGACCCTCTGCTCACGATCATTAAGGACCTTCATGATGGTGAGCGGGCCCGGGTAAAACTACGTGGCCGGGAGTCAGAGCCATTCCCTGTACACCTTGGGGTGCGACAGGGATGTCCTCTGGCTCCCACATTATTTAACATCTATTTTGACCACGTAGTTCGTGAAGCCTTCAATAGCTGTACCGGGGGAATCTCCATATGGTACAGATATAATGGGAGGCTAATCGATGCCCGGGTGCGGTCAAGGGATGGCTCCCTATTGCTCAACCACGTTATGTATGCTGATGACTTGGTAATAGCTGCTCAGTCAGAGGAGGAGTTGGAGACGCTGCTGCTGAGACTGGAGCGTGCCACTAAGAGGTGGGGCCTTACCATCAGCCCCACCAAAACTAAGCACCTGCCTGGGTATTTTGTACCATCGGACACTCCACCCCCACAACTCCCAATCGGTGATGGGGCAGTTGTGGAGAGAGTGGAGAGTTTCCCATACCTGGGCAGTGTGCTTATGACTGGCTCCAGTTTAACAGCAGAGGTCTCACTCCGAATCAGTCGAGCGGCAATATCTTTTCATCGGTTGCGTAACGCTGTGTGGAAGCTACCTGGTCTGTCGCTCCGCACTAAGCTTCAGGTCTTCTCGGCCACGGTCATTCCCTCCCTTCTCTACCCTTGCGAAACGTGGACCCCCCTAATGGAACATCTTCGCCGGTTAGAAACATTTAGGCTGACCTGCCTACGATCCATCCTGGGTTTAACCAGACTGGATTGTGTGAGGAGCTCACAAATCCTTGAAAGATCTGGGCAGGGTCCCATCGGTGAGCTCCTCCGGCAGGCAAGGCTGCGATGGCTGGGTCATGTAGCCCGCATGCCCAGCCACCGCATGCCGAAACAGCTTTTGTTTGGCCGGATTGAGGGGGCTAAGCGGGCGCGGCACGGGCTAGAGAAGAGATGGAGTGATGTGGTACAGGAGGACGTGGAGCTGAGTGGACTTGCCGATGACTGGTACCAGCGGTGTCAAGATCGGCCTCTGTGGAGAGGGCTCGTGAAGGATGCTACTGGGCAGTTGGAGGCAGTCGCCCTCCAACAACAACGGAGGGCGGAGGAGCGACGCTCACAACAGCGAGCGGAGCGCCGGGTGGCTAAAGCACAGCAGGTTGGCACAGTAGGGGGCACAGGTGGTGCATCAGCCAGTCATCTCAGTCAGTCGACCCGTGGCACCTGGGTCTGCCCCGTGACCTCCTGCCAGCGGGCGTTCGACACTTCACGTGGCCTCAGGGTGCACATAGCCTGGCACAAGCGTCGTGGTGACGTCACCGCCACTTAGTGGCGAATGGCGGTTGTTGTTGTTGTTGTTGTGTGTGTGTACGTGTGTGTGTGTGTACGTGTGTGTGTACGTGTGTGTACGTGTGTGTACGTGTGTGTGTGTACGTGTGTACGTGTGTGTGTACGTGTGTGTGTGTACGTGTGTGTGTGTGTGTACGTGTGTGTGTGTGTGTACGTGTGTGTGTGTACGTACGTGTGTGTGTGTGTACGTGTGTGTGTGTGTACGTGTGTGTGTGTGTCTGTGTGTGTGTGTGTACGTGTGTGTGTGTGTGTACGTGTGTGTCTGTGTACGTGTGTGTGTACACGTGTGTGTACGTGTGTGTGTGTGTGTCTGTGTGTGTGTCTGTGTGTGTGTGTGTGTCTGTGTGTGTGTGTACGTGTGTGTGTGTACGTGTGTGTGTACGTGTGTGTGTACGTGTGTGTGTGTACGTGTGTGTACGTGTGTGTGTGTGTACGTGTGTGTGTGTGTGTGTACGTGTGTGTGTGTGTGTGTACGTGTGTGTGTGTTCGTGTGTGTGTACGTGTGTGTACGTGTGTACGTGTGTGTGTACGTGTGTACGTGTGTGTGTGTGTGTACGTGTGTGTATGTGTGTGTTGTGCGTACTTGTGTGTGTGTATACGTGTGTGTGTGTGTACGTGTGTGTGTGTACGTGTGTGTGTGTACGTGCGTGTGTGTACGTGCGTGTGTGTACGTGTGTGTGTGTGTGTACGTGTGTGTGTACGTGTGTGTGTGTACGTGTGTGTGTGTACGTGTGTGTGTGTGTACGTGTGTGTGTGTACGTGTGTGTGTGTGTACGTGTGTGTGTGTGTGTA